ATTCAGGGTTTAAGAGGCAGATCAACCGCTTTTCTTCCCTTAATTGTTTTGGGGGCAAAGCTTCTCGGACAGGGAGGTGGGGTAGACTCTGTCGGCAGATGATGTGGCTTCATTTCGGGACGGAGGCAAATAGAGAGAGATGCATCGGCGTGGTGATTGATGCGTGCCCGGCTGCGAGGCTGGGCTTCTTCTCAGGCAGGTGCAGGGAGCCAGGGGTCTGAGAATGTGGGTGGGGAGCAGGGGGTGGCCGTAGCGTCCAGCCATGTCCTCTGTCACGCTCCCACTCCGTGGGGGATTCTCCGGGACTGAGAGGCAAGAGCGTGTCGTGGCCATGTCTGCCATGTCCTGGGGGACCTTCTCACACCTCACGTGGCACAGCTGTCCCTCGTCCCTGCCCCGGTGCTCACCCCGTCGCTGGGCAGGCAGGGTTTCATCTGAACTCTGGTTCCTCTCCTGCAAGATCTGAAGACAGGAGGGGCGGGGGAGGCGGGGCTCCCTCCGACAAGAGCCACGCACCTAATGTCGCCAGGACAGTTGAAGGGTAGCTGGAATATAAATACAGGCCACGAATTCAGTGGCATGGCCTGTGAAGATAGAGTCTTCAGACCTAACGCAGCCACAAACCTTATTGTGCCGTTTGCTTAAGAAAATGGTCAACTGAGATTCCTTTCGCTGGTGGGTGAGGTTTTTTTCTGTGATTGCCACATTTGAGGTCGATGCGAAGTTCTCTACAGGTGGTGTACTTTGGAAAGAGGGTTTTGGAAAGATTTGAACTTTAAAGGCAATTCCAGCTGGCTGTTAGTGTCCTACCTAGGTGGTTTCTCAACAAGCTTCAGCTTATGCTAGCGTGTGGGTCAGAATCCTGGAAGGCGGGGCGCTCGACTCATGGCTCCCTGAGGTCAATGGCCTGGGCTCCGGCATCCGGACCTCGAGGGAATGCCTCTCTATTCCCCTCCCCCTCGAAGAACCCACTTACGTGGTGGTCCCAGGGGAACCCAGAAGAACACTCCGGTTCTTCAAGGGATGCTTTCCCTGTACCAGCTGTCCAAGAGGACATCGTAAGACTCTTGGAGGTCAGGAACAGAGCGCAGTCAGCTGGAGGAAACAGGCACTCGGCTCTGGGAAGGCTCCTGCCCTCTGGACCACTGGGCAATTAGATCACTTATCTCGGGCGTGGTTTTAGGGCGCGCTCACCCCTGCTTGTGGCGGCTCTTGGGATAGCTGGTTTGCAATGGCTGTGCAGGGCCCCGGGAATCGGGACTGGGGCGTGGGGGGCAGCAGCTGCTCAGCCTGAGGGCTGCTACTGCGATCAGGGCTTCTCCAGTTAACATGATAAATGAGACAAGCATAACAGCCAGGCACTTTCCCAGGCTGCCTGTCGAATCTGATTATTTGGAGGCTTATTTTCCAGAGTCTGGATCTCACATTGGAAATATGTCTTAAATTCTTCCCTCTGGTCCCTTTTTCAAGCCTCCTTTTGTCCATTTCCCTTAGGGCAGTAGCCTCTTCGCCCCACGTGTACGTTAGGAGCACATGTGCTTGGAAAAAGAAAGGGCCCTTTTAAAATATGTTGGTCAGAACTAGCATTTCGAGCTGTCTATCTCCATAGATCAAAATTCAGTCTTAAGAAACAGTAAGGTGCAATTATTTTGATTGAGTTTTTTTAAGTCAACTATAGCCATTCTGAATCCCAACAATTATCCTTTTTCTTCAGACTCCTCCTAATCCAGTGGAATGATCTGAATAGCCATGGTTGATAGCAAGTATCACGACACTGTCAGCCACCTGCTGTTATTAAATACCGAGTCCTCTCGCATCCCTCGTTCAGGATAGAAAGGGTCTGTGCTCTTGGGAATGATGTAAAAAGGGATGGTCTCTGACCAACTCAGTCACCCTCCGAATGTGAGTAGGGGGTTATTTACGTGATGGGGGTGTCACTCATGTCGGTGCATGAGCTGCTACATAGCAGCCACATACCGAGGAAGCCTTGAGACAGTGGAGATTCTGATCTCTGAGCCACCGGTTAGGGAAGGAGACTAGCATACATGGAAGTGCCCCCAAAAGGGACCCCTCTTTTCCAGACTTCATACTGTGACCGCAGTGACTGGCAGAAGTCAGTCAGTCAGTCCACAAGCACCTATCAACCAGGTACCTGCCGTGAGCCGGGCACTGTCAGTCCCTGAAAACGCCTGAAAGGGAGACCAGGCTCCCTCTGGTAGGACACACAGCGGCCTCCGCTGTGACAGAACCGTGTGGCCCGCGCAGGAGTAGCTGCCCCGTGGGGAGCTGTGGGGGCACTGGAGAGACCAGAGACCCCTGCAGCCTGCAGGAGCAGGGTCAAGAGGCCAGAGTCGGCTCATGCTGGAGCTTGAGTCTTGCTTTGTACCCTGCAGGGCTGTAGACTTTAGGTCAGTTACGTAACTTTATTAAGTCTCATTTATGGTGTCTTAAGAGCACAGACGATGCTGTTCCTGCCTCTCAGACATACTGAAGAGCAAATGACAGAGCACATGAGGCGTGGGACAGGCGTGTTGTCTAAGCAGGTGACCGCCCCAGCCGTCACCACCACCACGGGCCAGGCCTTCACAGTGAAACTTCTGTGGGGAATTAAAGGAGAAGGAATTTGCCAGGAATTTGTTCTGATTCATTTCTTGGTGGACCGAACAAAACAGTTCACTCAAAAGGTAAAATGAGCTCCTCCGAAAGTCAGATGCTATGTCCATGTAGCAAAGGGGCCATAGAACCTCATAGAAAAACCTAGTAAAACATAGAAGAATTTTTCCAATTTTAAATGAATCAACAACTATTTTAAGTATGTCGCAGTTTTGATTTTTAATGTGTTAGATGCATAATCCCTGTAAACAGACTCCCTTTAAGAGTCTCAGTACCTTTTTGGAGTCTGCAGGGCTTCTGAGACCCAAAAGTTTGAGAACCGCTCTTCTAAAGAACAAGGTCTTGGAACTCTGACCCCCAGGTCTTGGGTGGCAAAGCTGGAGCAGTCCTGGCGCAGGCAAGTAGAGACTGGCGGAAGGTTTCCTTAGCCAGATGCTGGAAACAACTGCTTCCTGACCCCAGGCCGTGGGTCTCAGACTCCCTGCAGGCCTGGAGCATGACCAAAGGAATGCCCGGCCCAGAGGGTGGTCCAGGGGCCTGGGCGTGGCTGTCAAGTCATGACTCTTAATCCCAGTGAATCTGCAGACTGCCGTGTTTACAGGGTCGGCGAGAGGGTCCTCGAGGCAGCCTGGAACCAGCCACCTCCGGATGACTTGTCTATGGCCTGTCAGTACTGAGGCCCAGAGGAAGTACTGCGGGCCCAGAGTGGGCAATGTTAAACTGTTACTTTTCCCATAAAAAGATTCAAAACAGGCCCTCCCTGGTGGCCAGCGGGTTAAGGCACAGCACTAAGAAGCTCAAGCCGCTTCCGCATGAGTTCGATTCCCACCTGCCCCGGAGGTGACCACATGGCACGGCAGACCTCTCCTGACCCGCCCGCTGCTCCCCTCAGCAGTGTATTTCGTCGATCTGCCTGTTCTGCTCCCCACTCCCGTCTCTGGTGAGGCCTCTCACCGCCCCTGAGCCTCTGGCTTGTACCCCAGTTCTGTAAGCACAAATAAATCTTTAAAAAAAAAAAAAGATTCAAAACAAGACCCCCAAAATTGACAGCAGTGGAAGCATGTTACTGTTCAGAATATTTTTAAGCATGAGAAACACTGTGTCTAGCACAGGTCAGTTCTTAGGGAGCTTCCGCGGCTCCCCTCCTCCCCCAGCGCCAGCCGCCATTGCGTCTCCGTTGGGCCCCATGGCCAACGGCCTCCACGTTCCTTTTGGAGACTCCGTGGTTTTCCCGCACCCACAGCCCCCACCAGAGGACTTGGGTGTGTTTCGAGCAAGCTGTGTTACCTTCAGGTGGGAGCAGCAAAACACAGTGTGGCCGCGGCGAGTCTGTTGCCGCAGATACTCTGCGGTGCCTCAAAGCCCGACAGGAATCATTTACGCTCACGGTTCCTTCGTGTGCACGTTAGCGTGAACTGGACGCGTGGAGAGTCGGGGCCGCCCTCAGGCGTCCTCCTCCTGGACCTCCCGCAGACTGGTCAGGACTCCTGCCGCTCACCCTGCCGGCAGTGACCTCCGCGGTCAGCTCTGGGACAAATTAGCAGTTAGAATGTGGCTGGCAGATGTAAGTCCCACTGGGCTCTGGAACCACGTCTCCCACGGTGAATGCTGGAAAGAGGGAGACACTTGCGGAAGGGGGTGGCCTGTGGTCAGCGGGCCTCAGAAGGAAGTCAAGTGACTCCGACAGAGGCGCCTTCCCCACGCCTTCGCTGCGGTGTGCTCTGTCTGCCCCTTCCTTGGCCTCGCCGGGGACAGGTTGGGGGCGGGGGAGGTGCTGGCCGGCACAGCCTCGAGTCACGGGCGCTTCTGTGGCAGCCTGCGCCCCTGGCCTCGCCTGGACGTCTGCTCCCACGCAGGGCGTGCGTGTGCTTGCCCACGGCCTGAAGTCAGGTCCCGGGACACAGTCCCATCCCAGGGGTGCTGTTGCCTCTCAGAGGGACGTTGAGAGGCTTGTCTTGAGACTGGACCCCTCCTCCCAGGAGACAGGCCGAATCCTCCCTTCAGCCCTTTGTGGCCGGGTCCAGGCCCCAACAGGAGCGCCTCAGAACCCCCTTTGCAGAACATCAGCCGTGCCCGGTCGCTCTCGGCACAGGTGCCATGGTGGCACCCCCGGACCCCACTGACCCCCACCCCGTGTTCAGCTGAGCCTGGGCGGGGCCCGTAGCATAGCATGTGCTGTGTGTGTTGACTAAAAGGTTAACAGAAGCAAAGGGTGGAAACGGCCATTAGCTGGATTTCCTTAGGAGCATAAGACTTATGCAAGGTGTCGTGGGGGGCGGGCGTGTGTCCGTCTTGCACCTGTGTCTGTGTGTGGCTGGGGCAGGTGGGAGGGTGGCCGGTTGGGCCTGGCCTTTCACCCCTCATGCCAGTCTCTCGCAAACTCACAGGCTCTGTCCACGCCACATCAGTCGCAGCCTCACGAGTGGAGCAGGCGCTGTCGGAAGTGGCCTCGTCCCTGCAGAGCAGCGCCCCCAAGCAGGGCCCGCTGCACCCCTGGATGACGCTGGCGCAGATCTGGCTCCACGCAGGTACCTCTCTGCCCCCCTGGGGTCTCCCCCCAACCAGCTGCCGTGCCAGAGGCTGTAGGATTTTGAGGGCACTTCTTACAGGGGCGCTTGGCCCCTAGAGGTGACGAGCGCTGTGGCTCACGCCCTGGCACCCCCACACCTCGGTGTGGCCGCTCCTCTGTGGCCATCCTGAGCCCTTGGGCTCTCAGTGCCCTGCCCAGAGCAGGTGTCCAGGACAGATTTTCTGAATTGGACTCTAAGGATCTCAGGAGCTCGCTGTGGGGGTGCGGGTCTGTGCTGTCACAGGGCCCGAGCGCCCCCCTTGTGGGACACAGCTTAGCGTGGTGTCTGCACGCCTTGGAGTGGCGCCCCAGCTCGGTGCTCCGCAGCAACACAGACGCCATCAGTGGCTTCCCTCTCCGCCTCAGTTTCCTCATCTGTGCGGTGAGGTGGCCAGCAAGCACCTGTCTCCTGGGGCGATGAGCACAGCCGGCACTGAGCTCCGGGAGACGGGGGAGGGGATGACGCGGAGGGCTTCAGGCACGCCGGGAAGGCCAGTTTGGTGTCCCCGCGACTCGCCGGTGTCCCCGCGACTCGCCGGTGCTCCCGGTCGCCCACAGCGACAGAGGCGGGTCGCAGCAGCTGCTGCCCTGGGCTGGCCCAGCAATCCCGCGCGTCTGACCTCTCCTCCGGTTCACGTGGCCACTCTGCAGGCTGGAAACCCCCAGCACGCCCGAGGATAGCGGTGAGCGTCCCACCTTCGGGGGCGCGATCAGATGACGGCTGGGTTGACTGACAGCCATATCTCCGCATACACGTAACTTCTGTTCCTCTAGTTTTGGCACTGGCTCTTCACAAGCGTAGCTGGGCCCGCCCAGCCTTGACTCCCGGGGCGTGAAAAAAAGCCCCGATTTGGCTGAGAAAGTGGTCATTCTCCACCACTGGCCCTCTGCTCGCTCCCTTTCTGCCAAGCCTAATTGGATGATGTCAGCGTTTGGAGCCATCGGTGCACCTCCGTGCATGAAACTGCCGCGTCTACCTGGCTTGTCACAGCCGAGCGCAGCCAGCCTCTCCTGTGTTGGCTTCTTTAATTGAACCATAACAACGACCGTAAATTAACAAATTATGTTCTTCTAAGCAGAGGTACAAAGGAGGGGTGATTCATGACTGTGCTGGCTGCTCCTCCGTGCGCAGACGCTTGCCAGCATCCGCCCCCTCGCTGGTCGCCGACGGGATGCCTCCGAGGGCGCGGGAGAATGGGCCGGCCTTCCCGGTTCTCACAGAACGCCCAGCCCCGGCCTGGGACTGGCCTGTCCCCGGCAGGGTCCTCAGAGAACTCACGGGAAGAGTCCAACCTCCGCGTCTGGGCCAGCAGGGGCTGACCGTCCTGAGGGGTGGTGTGGGCACAGAGCGGTCTCTCCAGCTGGACTTGAAGTCTCCTTTTGAAGGGACGCAACCTTGAGATCCAGAGGGGCTGGAAGTGACCCTTCTAGACTGGGCCCAGCTCCCGCGGCCTCGCCAGGCATTGCTTCACTCGCTTGTGTTTTGGAAAAGCTGGAAAAGCTCACTCAGTGGAGTGAGGGCCACTGAGCTCCAGCACAGTGGTCCCTGTGGCTTGCTGCCCGCCTCGCTCGGGCAGGTGCTTTGCTCCTCTCTGCGTGGCCTGCCACATTTCTTGGGCGAGACTTGGTGTGCTGCTCGCTAGAGCATTGAAGAACTTGGTAGGGGAAGCTGCCGTTTGGGGCTCGCCTTGAACTTCCGTTTAATCGTGTAACATCCAGTCCTCGTTACCGTGGGCTATGGGACAGAATCAGGCTCTCGTTGCCAGCTCATGGGTGTGGCTTTTAATACCCCACAGGTTGGTGGGAGTGAACTATGGCAAGGAAGTAGCATCCTAGAAACGCTGGGCAAAGTCTTCCTAGGGCTGGTGTGTGTACGGCGTTATATTTGATGTGCACAAAAGGGTCAGCTGGACTCTTTATAGGATGTCAGTTCTTCCAAAGTGGCGATCTTGAATCAAGATTTAGACTCACATAGTCTTTCAAGAGGCAAACTTATTCACTTTGAGTTTGAACTCTAATGCCCGGGAAGCAAAATAAAAGAGACCCACGTTTTCCAACAATTTATGGAAATCGGGTAACATCTGCATCCGTCACCTAGATGTACGGCCAGATTCCATGAATTCTGCAAGCTTTTGAAGAAACTGTTAGCTCGAGCCCTGACAACCCCAGACCGTGGTGTTTCTCAGGCTTTTGGGGTCCTCTGTCTCGGTTGCTTTTTCTGGTGAGCAGCGTGCAGTGGGAGCCAGTGGTGGAAGTCCGTGGTAGGCACAGCCCTAGCTTTGAGTCCTACAGGTGAGGTTGTAAGGTGTTGCCAAAAAGAGCCCCCACAGTCTTAGATAAGAGAGGTTTGGGGGGCCATTTGCCAGGCGGGACTCCGAGGGAGGAGGGGCTGCCCAGGGGCATACAGGGAGAGAATTTATGCACAAGAAAAGTAGAGGAGGGGGGTCGCAGCTCAGAACAGCCAAGGTAGAGCGCACAGAGTGGGAAGACAGGCCCAGGTGACCCCAGTCTGCGCGAGCAGGAATGTGGGCCAAGTCCC